AACCCATATTTTTGAATTTTTAAGTATATTCGTCGTATAACGCCACCTCCTTTTCAGGAAAGAACCTGAAATGTACGCTCGTTTGTTTTGAAGTCATTTCTTTCAGGTATTATACGACGCTTTAGAAAAAATAGCATACTTCTAGAACTACAACTGTGTAAGTTCAGAAGAAATTTCACCTTTTTAAATAAATGGTATTTCTGTTTTAGTAGAAGTCTAATTTTTTCTAATCTTATTATTTTTATTTTTATTGTTCGCGTTTTTATACCCCATGTATAACGCACACCCTTAAATTTCGATCTTGTTTTTTGTGTTCAAAGTTCGCGTTATACGCCGGATTTTACGGTAAGTTTTGAAAAATGTTAACTTCTTTGAAAGGGGTATACTGAAAATGATTCTTAAGATGTATAACACTTCTCTAAATGTTTGTAAACTGAATTTAATTAAAATTGCATCTAACAATTTAAAAAAGGACGTTTAAAATATTTTTTATTTGTATCTAATTTTTTCGGTCATTTCCCCCCATTTTTATCCTGAGAATGTTATCCAACTTACTTGATAATAATAATAATAATTAAAAAAATTCATTTTCTTTTTAAACAGCTATTATAATACATCATACATAATACATAGAAGTGTGCAATATGTTTTTTCAAAAACTTTATTCTTCATAAATGTTAAGTATAAAGTTACCCTCTTAAGAATTATAATTATTTTTCCTTTTTACTGTCAGTTGTTATAAATCCGAATTTTTAGAAAGGTACTTTTCTACAAGTGAATTTCCTATGTTTAAAAATCAAAAATTCCAATAAATATATATATATTTTAAATATTACTTCGTTGAGAAAAATTACTAGATGGATTTCACTGAGGAAATATAATTGAAAAATTGAATTAAAAAAGGAAATAGCACATAATACATTGAAGGATTACTTAATATTGCTTAACATATTCATGTCTAGGAGACTTAATTGGTGTTCCAAACAAAAATTCAGAATATATTGATTAAGATATAGTACGTTTATAAGAGTGCAGCAAAAAATAAATTTAGACTCCTTTTAGAAGCATTACATTTTAAAAACTAAAGAAATACATTAAAATAAGTAAAGAGTACAGTAATTACATACATTGTCATGTTTTAAACACCCTCTTCCTAAAATTCTACGTTTTAATTTTTTTTAAGAAACTATATATATATATATATATATATATATATATATATATATATATATACATATAGACATAAAAATATTAACCATTTCACAAAACTACTGCATTATGGATTCCAGTCAAGTTTGCCCAGACAAGAGTAAATGTTAAAAAATAAACCAGTTTAAATATTGATCATGATTATATTGAAATGTGGATACGATTTGGAAATGAAAATATCAAACCAGACTTTCAAATAAATACTGCATATTTTTATTCGTTTCAAGTAATTTAATTTTTGAGAGAAAAAAATATATTGCTTCTACTTAATAAAAGCAAATTTATTAATATTTTCTATGGAACTATAAAAATTTCCCAATTACATGCTGTATTTTGAACCTTTTTTAAAAATTTATTTATCTTCATTCTTTTATATTGTATTCAACAAAATTTTATTTATCTTGAAAGTTCTAAATTTTGTAGGATTTCTTAGAAATGTTTGTAATTTAATATGAAGAAATTTTATTTAAACTAATGCTTGATGACTGAAGGTGAAATAATTAATATATTCTTCAAAAAATATTTTTTAAATTAGCTTACAAATTTTGTAGTATTGTTAGGTTGAAGAATCATCAAATAGTTTGATTTTCTTGTTAACGTTACTTGAAATAATTCAGAAATCTAGTTTTTCCTGATGAAATCTCAATGACATCTGATAAGAATGAAAAAGCTTGATATGATGTAATGGTTGAATAAATAGTACTAGTAGAAAAAACGGAAATTGACAACATAACATAAAAAGATTGAGTTGGATTATGTGAAAAAAGATAGGTTAATATTTTTTTTTCTTTGTGCGTAATGTTATAAGTCATGTCTAATGAAATGTTTATGATTGATAACATTAGGATTTTATCAGAACAGAGAATGTCTAACAATAGCCAAATATTGACAGAAGAAAATGTTTTTAAATTGATTGAGTATAAAACTTAAAAATAAGGCATAGAAGACTTTTATTCTTAAAAAAATACTTTTGAGATACTTTTTTAAAAATTTTCAAAACAATACACAATTTATATAAGCACCGATTTTATATTATTTTTTTTTAACTGGACTAAAGTTATTCATAAATTTAGAATAATAATTAAAAATAAACATGATGTATTACTTTAAATTAATATTTTTACAAATGCAATCAGTTTTGTTTAAATTATTTTAATTACTATTACAAATACTGAAAATAAATTATATGGAGAAAAGTTACCAATAAGGTAATATACACCTATTACTTAATTATTTTATAACTCACCTTATGAGGTCAATCAACATTTTTTTCGTAAATTTTATAATACATAAGGTCTTTTTCTAAAATAATTTTTGTAAATTAAAAAAAAATTATTATTTTTGCAGTTATTTAAAGAAAAATAACGTATTAAAAGTTTCATTGACAAAAGTTACAGTTGAAAGTGGGCACAAATATAGCAAATACAAAAATATAGTTTAAAATACAGAATTTGTATTGAAACTTTCTGGAAAAAGTTAAGTTATCATTCCCAATTCTATCAACCAAAAAATTTCTACATAAATTTTGTTAAAAATATTTCACATGATATGAATAAAAACTATGAAAAGCTTTAATTTAAGTCAAAATTATTTTAAAATGACTATAGTTGTAGACAGTTTGGAATTATTTCTAATTTATAAGCTATTAAAAATATTTTTAATACCTAAAATTTCGAAGAGAACAGAACGAAAGGGTGTAATCAGCGTTACCTAATAAGAGAAAGTGTATGCAAAATTTTTATTTGTATACTTGGATTTAAGTTGATTAATTTGTTTTTATAAATTTACGATTAATTACGTTTGTCCTTTTTGCGTGTTTTATATGAGCATCAGTGACGTTTTCAGAGAAGCTCAATATAAGGCGTATTCCTTTTATTAGAAATTTTTTCATAGATTTTTCAACAGTTCACTTCTTATACCATTTTATTTCTAGTAAAATAATTTTAAAATAAAAAGATGTAATAGTAATCTTGGAAGTGGAAAATATTTCATTCTGTGTAGCATTTAATCAAATTTAATAAATAACTGACTTCTGCAAATGTGATATATTTCTGCAATTTCAATCTTGTAAATGAAGTTTATTCAAGTCAGTGCCTCTCAAACTTTCAACAGTTTTGACCCATTTTTTTGTCATAATTTTTCTCTCACCCCCTTCCCTATAATAACAAATAAATGAATTCAATAATGTACTTTGCCGCTAAAGCTACACAATGCGAATTCACTTATAAACCGTACAAATTATCAAGATAAGTATTAAATTTTGTATTTGACAAGACCATGGGAATCACTAGTAATTATTAAACTTGTTCTTAACTTTGTATTATCAAATACATTAAGCTAATGTTTTCAAAACTTTTTATACTTCTGACACAACTTTCAATCATAATTTTCATTGCGCAACCCCCTCACCTGGTCTTTATACAATATCAATGTATTCGAATTCAACAAGAATATACTTTGATATATTGCATGGTTTATAATTAAAGTACCATTTTAATTATAAACCATACAAATTATCTATAATAGCATTAAATTTTGTATACAATTTTTTGACATGCCCATAGGGTCACTAGTAATTATTAAACTTCTTATTAACTTAGTACTTTTAAATTAATTATGAAATACATTGAGCGGTACTGATGCATTTATGTGTATATTATATTAGCGTAAATGTGTGTTTTATTTTTTTATTATGTCAGAATGTATTTCGTTTTGCTTCATTTCAGTAAATTAATATTTTTTTAAAAATATTCTTTTGCTTTTGACTTTTCCATACACTCGCGTCCCCCTTGTAGGGTTATCATGCCCCCCATGGGGAACTTACACCACATAGTTTGCGAAATACTACATTAAGCAGTATTGATACAATTATAAGTATGTTATATCATTGTAATTTATTTTTTATCATGCCAGAATATATTTTGTTTCGCTTCCTTTAAGGAAATTAAAACAAAATTAAGATAATCTTCTATTTTTGATATGCTCACGCCCCCACATAGGATTGCCACGTTTCTGAAGGTATCGCACCCTATAGAAAGATAAAAAAAAAAAGCGCTGGTTTAAATAATTGTCCCTTGACAGGTTTGTTATTGAGACATATGGGCTTGCTTTAACAATGTAGTCTTCCTTACAAATCTTCAATCTCATTAAATCAACACTATATATATATATATATATATATAAATCTCACTAAAATCACGTTTTTGAAGATATACTTCTTTTGGGACGTTAGAGAAATAGGATGAGGGTGAATTTTTCGATTCGCGCGCGCACACCGTCACGGACGCGAAATTGCTTTGTCTAGAAATATACAGAACGGGACAGATCACATTGTCACCTTCAAAATTCTCAGGGAAATATTTCTCTTCACTTCTCTGAAGTAGGGGGAAACCCGGGTTTGAACCGGATACCTCTCAATCTGATGTCAAATACTTTACCACTGAGCTATACACCCCGTGTCAGAGAACCTTTGCTTTGCGTTCCGTAGGAACGGATACAAAAATCCTTTGTCTAGAAATATGCAGAACCGGACAGATCATTCCCGCCTCGAAATTCTCAAAAAAATAATTCTCTTTACGACCCGGAAGAAGAAGATACCCGGGTTTGAACCGATGACCTCTTGATCTGCAGTTAAATGCTCTACCACTGAGCTATACCTCCGAGTCAGCTAACTTTTGCTTTGTGTTCCGTAGGGACGGATACGAAAATGCTATGTCTAGAAATATACAGAACGGGTCAGGTCCCCGGTATCCTCTTCTTCCCTGAAGAAGAGGATAATTCTTCAGGGAAGAAGAGGGCACCCGGGTTTGTACCGAGAACCTCTCAACCTGCAGTCAAATGCTCTACCACTGAGCTATACCCCCCGTGTCTGCGAACCTTTGCTTTGCGCTGATTTGTGACGTCACTACTAGTAGGGAAAGATCGTCCTTCGCCTACGGATCTTCTCCGATGCATTTGTTTGAGCACTTTTTGTTATTAAACCAACATACTTACAGGAAATTTAAAAAAAAAATTAGTAAATTAATCTTTAAATCGTGTTTCATGCACATAAAACATAAGAGTAAATATTAGTTTACCTATTTTAAAAACAATTGCAAGTATATGATTATAGATGCATTTACTACGAACGCATTGCCATGAACATAAACACATTTATTTCATTGTAGCGAATTATAAGAGCCTTTTGTATTCGTATATTTATTTTTGAACTTATTCTTCTTTTTTAGCGTTAGGGAAAAAGGATGAGGCTTTATTTTATGATGCGCGCGCATACCATTACGACAATGAGGTGCGCGCGCACACCCTTGTTTAATATTTTAACATGTCCCTTTTTGGTGCTATGGGACAGATATTTGGGGGGTCATAATATCTATTGTTATAAACCATATCTGTTGGGATGCATCCCACCTCTATAGCTTTTTGGCCAATATATCGGCACCCGAGCCTCGCAGTCCATTAGGACCTGGCTTATTCGGCCCCTCTCTATTTGTTCTTCCAGTTATTATAATTTCATGTGTGTGCTCATAGGGCTTTTTCTCTTCTATAGTTTTTAACTGTCTTAAACTTTTTAAAATTGTTTAAATTCACAATATCTTGGATACTGTTCGAGTCTCGGACTTGAACCAAGTGTTCCACTCGTCGAGACCCATCCAGTCATCTGCTTTATTCTCATTGTGTAGGCATGAGGAGGACTTAAACACTAAAATATCATGCTCCCATGTTAACCCTATGGGGATTGGAAAAAATGTAACCCCCCTCCCTAAGGAACTTAATTTTTGGAGGTCCGCCATATTTTCGTATTAGCGCGAGCTTTACGTGGAATTGGCCCCCTCCCTCAACAGAGCTACCCCAGAAATAACTCGAATCCTATGCCACCTTGGTCGACCGCACCGGCTGGATTCGATTGTTCTTCCTATGAGCATCCTAGACAAAAATTTTCAGGACTATAGCCCCATTTCTTTACCTATATTTAACATTTTAAAATTATTTTAAAGTTATATTTTTTTTTAAATCCCGCATAACTCCGAGGATTTTTGATATTCGTTAAAGAAACTCGTACCATAGGTTTTCCTCGTTGTGCTGTTTCATTTGTTATAATTAATGTGTAGATAGTGGGCTTAAGGGGTGGGCGTTATCACTAAAATTAGAATCCCCATGTTTTTCTTATTGGGTTCGATCTTTTGAAGACGTAACGATATTACAGAGATAGAAGGATGGGACATTGGGATCACCTACTAGTCTGTGTGTCGTTGGGATGTGCGTGACCATTTACGTCACAGTTGTTCCCCTCCAGGGGGGAGTTAATTGCACTTTCCTTTCCCGAGTTAGCGCCGCCCCATTTGCAGCTACAGATTCCGGACCAGTTCTAATGGATTTCTCTTGTGTTTGCTCACAACCAGGCCCAGTTTCGAGTTGCTGGGTGCCCTGCTTCTATTTTATTTAATTGTTTTAAATGTTTGAATTATTTTAAAAGGACCATAACTCGGGGGCTCTTCAGGCGAATGTCTTAATTTTCTCAGGAACGATTCTTCCAACCGAGACATTCAATATGAGGTCTCAGATGTCACATTCGGTTCACTTCATCTCCAGATACAGTCTGATACCCCCCCCATGCTATGGGTCCTATTGTCCCTGTGCGGGGGCGTTTACATTTATTTAAATCGTGATTATCTCAGGTTTGGCTGGTCCGATTGACTGAAGGTTAGTATCTTTCAACTCTGCTTGTGACCGCCTTTCGTCCTTGGCCCAGCTTGCCCTGCTAAAGATTTTTAGAAAGATTTTAATCTTGTTACGCCAAAGAAGTATAACTTCTTACGAGCGTACATAAGTACACACACACTTTTTTTTCCTTTTTCTTTAGAGTTCATTAATTATAATCGTGTGATTTTGTGAAGCAAAATTTCATAAAATTAGGCATATGAATTTTGTAAAATTGGTAGTCAGTGAGAAATATCAGGCCTGTGACTAAGTTAAAAACATTTACAGTTGTTTTTCTTTAGCCATAAGTTACGCAACTCATTGTTAAAAATAAAATCGCGAATAGTTAGGCTATTTTTATGAATATAGCAGGCAATAGTAAATCATAAAAAAATGTTCAACTGAATGAAGACAATGAAAATAATTTCATGCTTTTTCCTAGAATCGAATTATGAATTACTAGGGAAGCGCATTCTAATAGCGAAACTCGCATTTAAAAACCAAAAATACAAGCAAAGACTAGCTTTTAAGAAGACATGGTACCATTTAAACAAAAAATTTTAACTTAAGGGTTTTCAAAATTTTTTTGGTTGCCTCCTATGTGTGAATATTATGTAAAACTGATTTTGTGCTCAAAATTAAATAAAAAAACTGGCCATTTAATTTTTTAAGAAAAAAACGTAAAATTTGTGAAGTAATTTTAACATACTACTCCTCCTACAAAACTTTACGTACATGCATGAAATTAGATTTACAAATACGTCAAACTATGTATAGCGAAATTTAGTATAGGTTTGCGATAACATAATTGATACTCGTACAATACTTCTTTCTATGAATACTTATTGAAATTTTTTAAAAAAGTGTGTAACTTTTAAATGCAATTATTTTTTTAAAAAAATAAGAGAACAGCTTTGATTAAAAAAATGCATACCAATTTTTATTACATGTACTATTAGCAATAGGTAAAATACAATTCAAAGCATTGGGTACAACAGAAAAAGAGCCGTAGCCTTTTAAATGAAGACAAACTAGTTAATTTATCTTTCTGATATAAGCAAGTTTAAAGTTTAGATTTCACATAGGAAAGTGAATTAAAACGAACGTAAAATCTATGATGATTCTGCGTTTTTTTTAAATTTAGAGCGTTCACATTTTGTGAGGTTATAAAAAATTATATGCAGAATAATTTAGGCTTAAAAATTAGATTTGATTTTTTGGCTGATTTTTGCAATTGAATCGTACTGTGCCCATTAAGTGCTATATCCCCACCTATATATATATATATACTAGAGATTAGTCTCTCGTATGAAATACATCAGATTTTTACACCACACAAAACTCGTGACATCCCTACAAGTGATAAATGAGCCAACACTGAGGGCTAACCACATCGACACAGTCTTTACTTCGAAAACTCTTGAATCTTCCAATTTTCTCAATTACAGGAGAGGTGGGTGACCTGCTGTCAATAATTTTCTAGGCCATATTCTGCTGAAAAATTTCACCTTGTTTGCACCGATACAATCCTCCCTTAAATAAAGGGTGTTTTTTAGAGGTATAGAACTTTAAATTGCAATAAAACAACGATGTATTATTCGATTGACATGAATTTTTTTTATTTGAAAGATAATCTTGAGGCATTACATTTTAAATATGATTTCTGGCATAGGACTGCCACGGCTGGCTCGGATGTAGTCCAATCTGGACGTCCAATTTTCGATGACTTTTTCCAACATTTGTGGCCGTATATCGGCAATAACATGGTGAATGTTGTCTTCAAAATGGTCAAGCGTTTGTGGCGTATCCGCATAGACCAATGACTTTACATAGCTTCACAGAAAATAGTCTAGCGGTGATAAATCACAAGATCTTGGAGGCCAATTCACAGGTCCAAAACGTGAAACTAGGCGGTCACCAAACGTGTCTTTCAATAAATCTATTGTGGCACGAGCTGTGTGACATATTGCGCCGTCTTGTTGGAACCACAGCTCCTGGACATCATAATTGTTCAATTCAGAAATGAAAAAGTTAGTAATCATGGCTCTATACCGATCACCATTGATTGTAACGTTGTGGCCTTCATCGTTTTTGAAGAAGGATTCCACCAGCCCATAAAGCGCACCAAACAGTCAGTTTTTCTGGATGTAACGGTGTTTCGACATGCATTTGTGGATTAGCTTCACTCCAAATGCGGCAGTTTTGTTTGTTGACGTAGCCCTTCAACCAGAAGGGCGCTTCATCGCTAAACAAAATTCGCTTATGAAAATCCGGAACAACGGCAATCTGGTTTTGGGTCTATTCGACGAATCTACGCCTTGCTTGATCATATTTAAAATGTAATGCCACAAGATTATCTTTCGTATAAAAAAATTCATGTCAATTGAATAATACATCGTTGTTTTATTGCAATTTAAAATTCTATACCTCTAAAAAGAAACACCCTTTAGATAACATCTCCTCACTTTCGCAGTTAAAATGGGATGTCAAACTGACCAACCATTCATATTTTTTTCATATGAGTACGTTTTTCACACATCTTGTGAAAGATCTAAATAAAACAATTTTTTTTTATAATCTTCAATTATTAAATCACTTAAAAATTATGAATTATAGAGAATTTAATATAATTTCCTCTTCACAAGAAGTAAACGTAATTGAAATTCGTTATGAATACTGTATACGTTATGAATGTATTGCAAATGATTTGAAAATGTTATTGTTAGTTTTCGTTTTAAAAAATTCTCAAATTTTTATATTTTATAATCTGATCTGAGATCTGATAGGCTGTCGAATTAATTTCTATTAATGAGGGAAATGCAGTGTTCTTTAATAAAATAACACAAAAATATAATCCAAAAATATACTAATTACTTAATATTATCAGCGTCATTAATGAAAAAAATTAAAAAATATGCTTTAAAACTCTTATCCTTGACACTCAGTTACACTTGGCAAGCCATTGCTTCCAAGAAAGTTAGTGGGGCTCTACCTCTGTAACCAAGAGCTACAATTTTATTTAAAGTTTAATGTCTGCGAAGAGCAAATACAAAAAAGCAAGAAAAAGTAAATTTAAAATAAAATTGTTAAATTTAAATGTTTTATGTATTGAAAGTTGCATGTAAATAAAATAGAACAAACATAGAGAACGATTTCAATTATTTGA